CATCGTTGTATCTCTGATCTTCGCCATCACGACTCGTTTAGTTGCTCTAAATCCTCTCGGAAAAGGACTACACTGAACCTAATAAGCAACGGCCTCGGCCACCGAATCGAAACTTCGAGCGAGAACGTTCTCCGGGAAAGGCACTTTCAATTTCCGACAGGACAATAACTTCTACTGGATTTGAGTATGGTGAGGACTCGGTTGAACTACAGGTTACAGAAGTAAGTTGCATCATCAGAGGAAACTGGTCCAGATGCTCTTCAGGTTCTGATGAACGCTTCCGGGATGAGTTTCTCCTGAAAGCCAACGACTCAGTCTAGTGTGAGTTTCAACCGGAATCAGACTTCCCTGGTGGAGGTTTGGTTTAATATGTACACACGGTCCAACGATCGAACAAATGGAGAGAAGAATGATGTCTCTGGCGAAAAGCAGTGCCGGCCAGAGAACACCTGTAAAAGCTGGGGCGCTGTCGATGGTAGGAAAGCAAACACCGGTGAAGATTCTACCTCCGAACATGGTCCGAGTGATCATCGATGTCAGTTACGATGAGGAATGAATCATAGAACTGAATGTCCATTGGCTGATCAACGAAGTGGTGCAGCGTTTCGGAATCAAACATGGTAAACTACCACTGATAAAACTACTACCGCCAGATGGTGGCCTTTGTATGGACACCGATCCCCTTGCGACCTTCTGTGCGGCTCGGATTCTATAATCAATGTGTACCTCATAGAAGCGAAAAACTGCGTTCGGATCAGTTCTACGAGGATTATTGCAAACATCGCGATGTTGAACTGCTTACCGAACTGCTCCAATCGCTGGGCACCATGGAAAACATCGGTCATTTTACACTTCACCGGGACTTCTTCTCCGCCAAGCCTATAATTATTCTATTTCAAGCGCTGGGTTACCAGGGTCGTGTCCGAGAGCTAAACCTATCCTTCAACCAACTCACCGGTGTCGATTTCAGGAGCTCACATTCAAGCTCAACAGCTGACCAATCAACATCTTACAATTCTACTGAACCTCCTTCGGCTGTGATTTCAGCTCCGTCACGAATCTCCGCGCCCCAAATCGACCTACCAACGTCTTCAACGTTACCTTCACTTCCTCTTTCAGGGTCTCGCTCTCCCACTCACCAACTCATTAATCACATTTCAAATCGGCATTATGACCAGTAGCACGTAGCAGTCCCTTCATGGTCATATTTTCAATCAGCTTCCGGAACGATGCCACCCCCTTCCCAACTTCGATCAAACTGTTCTGATACACCAAAGCCTTCCGCTCCTTGATCGTCTTGAGTGGAGGTTCTCCGATCTCGAAGTCTTCCGGTAACGGCTCCAGCACCATCCGGAAGAACCCCAGTACTACTCCCAGCTTGCAGTTGTACTTGGCAACTGTAATCCCGCAAGCATACCGCGTTGACTTTTGACCGGTTTTAAGCTAATGTTTTGAAAATATGAGGAATCCATGGCAGAACTTCGCCGGAAATGCACGGTTGAAGTTATGAATCCAAAAATTGGATTGGGTCAACAGCAATGATTAACATGTTGACAAATGCACAGAGCAGGCGTAGATATTGTACAGTGTTGCCAGTAACTTTAAATATCATTAAAATTTCTAACCATGGGTGCCAATGAAAGTACCCAGGTGGCACTGTGTAAAATACACACTGGGCACACTGTGCTGAGTGACTAACCCCTTGGAATCCTGTAAAAATACATTTTGTATCGACTTAGAAACAACTTGACGTATCTGCTGATTGAAAATGATTGCTTTGTTTTTTTTTCGCAAATGACGTTTCACTATGAGTGTATCTGAACTTTTTGTGTTATTATCAATTTTTGACAGTTAAGTCCTGTTGACAATAAAAGGGTGTATCAAAACCATTTTTAAAACAATAATTCAAAAATTATTGAAAACTCCGGCCACAGAAACAAATTCAAGATCCAGGAAAAATTCTGCTGTCTTATTAATGACCCTAAATGGAGGAATTGATTTAATGGCAACGAATTTGCTAAGCTGTCTTTCCCCTTGGTTGCTAGAAAAGAGAAGTGAACAGTGAGCTATTATATGTAGCAACTGCTGTATAAGCGGCTTTATATCGTCAGGCATGGTGAGCAGCAAATCTCAGCAATTTCCCATTTTTTTGCGGAATTTTGGAAATTTTCCCGACTATGCGATGTACATTTAAAACAATCATAAAACCGAACACGATTGACCTTAATGGATCACTGTCCATAGTGATCCATTAAGGTCAATCGTGTTCGGTTTTATGATTGATTTAAATGTACATCGCATAATCGGGAAAATTTCCAAAATTCCGCGAAAAAAATGGAAATTGATCATTGAGATTTGCTGCTCACCATGCCTGATGATATAACAGCGCTTAAACAGGAGTTGCTACATATAATAGGGGAAAAGTTGGCTTCGGCAATACCTTAACCTATTATCGTCAGGGGGTAAACAAAGTCCTAGAGCACTCTAATTTGGAGAATAGTTGCTCTGAAACACAATGTATCCACATGCCAAAATTGAGCTCTCTAGGACGTTGTTTACCCCCTGACGATAATAGGTTAAGGTATTGCCGAAGCCAACTTTTCCCCTATCTCACTGTTCACTTCTCTTTTCTTGCAACCAAGGGGCAAGACAGCTTAGCAAAGTCGTTGCCATTAAATCAATTCGTCCATTAGTTCGTTTGTTGAACTAACGATTCTGCCGGATTTTCTTTGTAGCATACAACTTGGTTTCTAATTAGGTTCAAAGTGCAGAAGTTTCTTGTACGTCAAAGTTTCGCAAGTTTTGTACCCACTACAGATGATGCTACAAGAGCGAAAAATAATAGATAAAGTGCAGCAGAGGAGCATACTTAAATGACGTAACCTATTTTTGTCCCCCGTATTTTTCTAAACTCGACGCAATGCGTGGTCGGTCACAATTTGGGTCTCTCCCTCCTTCCCTAAAATGCACCGTAATTTATGCATGGTCCCCTAGCCATTTTCCTGAACGACTACTTATCGTCTTCTCCTTTTGACTTTCATGGTTCCACGAAGAATCGCATGGTTTAACAAAAGCGTTTAGGTAAAACTATGTCTTTATCGGTAATAACGTTTTCTAGCTAAACTGGATCGTTGTTCACAGAAGTTCATAACGATTTAGGTACTCTTTCTTTCTTTCGGGGATGTTCACCGTGCTTCATGGCAACAACACACGAATGTATGTCATATCGTTGATCATATTAGAGCCAGAATCATCCCCCTCCCTCGATACATGCTGCTGCATGGCATTTCAACTATGGAAAACTAATTTTTGCAGTTGTTAACTCTCAACCAGTCAAGCATTCTGCTACTCCTTCGGGAAAACTGGGGGTGAAATGGGACGTGTACGTCTGCGGTTTCTTTCCAGTTGAAGGCCAGTCGGTCAACCAAGAGGTCGTTTCGTGGTTTCCAAGTTTTATGACTGAAACTTTCAAACACCTCATCTGTTCTTGAATGACGCAGACTGACACTAACATTGCGTCTCATCTATCGTACGGCTTGAAAAAAAGAGGAATATTTCTGAGTTTGCCTTGCATCATGCTTGAGCATATTAAGACAGGTCAGGATAGAAGACGATCAGCTCTGCAGCGCAGCATCCGTGTCCTACTGGGAGTGAACGCTTCTTGCTGATTTAATCAGAACAAGTTGAAACGGATAAGTTTTCCTTGGCTCCCAGAGGATGGAGGGGGGTGGAAATGGAACTGTTCTGTTTGACTTTGACTTTTCCGACGAGGGACGGGGAAGGTTCAGTTTTGATTCAATTGTAAGTTTGCTAGAGTAGGTATGTCTACATCTGTGTAGGTACTTACACGTATGGGAGTTCACATATCGTTGAAGGAATGTTATTTTCTTTCCATTTCACGCTGTGGATGGAACTGCATGTCGAGAGTGAAAGGTTGGTCCTTTTATTTTCCCGAAGCGCGACTATAGTTGTGCTGATTGAATTCGAGCATCTAGGTAGGTACGGTACTTAATCAAGATTGACTCGTTGGTGGAAATTAGGAATTCTTCGAGCGTTTTTCAAAGTTACGAGCGTCGAGAGGAAATTCAATTTACTGCACAGACAACTCTGCTCATCTCTAGAACATATAGATAAATCGTAAATGGCGTGGTAAAACAGAGTTTCAGAAAGTCAGACAACCGCTGTGTCAACTGACATGCAGCGGGAAATGAATTAACAGTGCAAATGCTAAGTTTATTTTAATTTAACTCTTAGAATTGAAACTTGTTTCGGTGGGAATTAGTGTGACAACCGTAACCATTGAATAAGTATATACTATGTACATATATCATTTAATTGAAATCATGTAACGAAAGGTAAGCAATATTTTTCAATGTTCAACTCTGAAAATAGCACAGATGCACCAAATGCAATGTTGAAATGCATGGGATCGAAGTAGCCCTTGCGTGAACCAATAACATCAAGAGACCTACTGTTGTTTGAAAAATGACCAACTGCTGTCATGATTATCTGAGATTTGTCAAATAATGTAAATCTAGATAGAGCTGGAATTAGGGCGTAACAGCTTTTGTAAACAATGACTTCTATCGATGATTTCTAGGAATTCAAGGCACGTCCACGCAGACCAACCTAGCCATCGGATAGGGGAAGTCTTTCCCTACCCGATGAGGATGTTGGTTTGCTTGGGCGAGCCTTGAATTGCTAGAAATCATCGAGAGAAGCTGTTAGGCCATAATTCCAGCTCTATCTAGAAATAGTATTGCCCTGATGACATTGTATACTAGATCATATTGCTCATCATGAATGGATACCTAGATGACAATGTACCCACGAGATTCCATTGAATCCCAATCAACACATATGTTTGTCGGAACATCATTAACCAACGTGGACGACGACTGCCAACAACAGCACCAAACCGAACCGACTGAAGTGTAGTGTCCCTGATCTCATTTGCATTCAACAGAATTTTTTCCCTGCTTATTTATCTATTTTTGCAGCCGCAGAACTGAAAAGCATCAGTCCGAATGCCCAACATCAGCTACAAGAGCAACAGACGCAACTGTTCTGCCCCCGTCGCTTCGATGGGTGGACCTGTTGGGATTCCCAACCAGCCGGTACGGTCGCCCAAAACTATTGTCCCAACTTTGTCCGCGGGTTCGATGCCAACCGCTTGGCCTACCGGATGTAAGTAAAACCAATTGAAAATTTACACATTAACAAGCCTTATCACAACGGCGATAGTGAAATTACTCGTCGACATAAGTGTTTAAAATGCATCTGACATTCGATTGCTGATTTTTCCCCTTCATACCCGTTCTCGTGCGCCAACAACAGCTGCCATCCCAATGGATCGTGGTTTATCCATCCGGATTCGAACCGGGAGTGGTCCAACTACACCAACTGCGTTGACCTGGAGGATATGAAGGTAAGTCCATGCCACCGTGGGCTGAAACGGATGCCAAATGAAGCTGGCCTGTGCAACGTTGGACTATCAGTGACGTTTGAAGCTTATTCATATTGTTGGTTCCGGTGCCGGAAGATGTGTTTAATTGTTCTGTGGAATTTCTCCAGTTTAAACATTCTTCCTTGTTGTTACACCGGATTAGTATGAGATATTTTGTTTGCTAGGAAATTGTTTTTTTTTCCAAGATGTGTAATATAACATCTTTCCAGGCGCTAATACAAGGCTACGAGCAAAGCAACTTAATTATTCCCGGGTGATGTTCTATATTTACTTGATCATCGTCTTCCGGTAAACTGAAAGCAGGTGATGGTATTATGGTATTGGAAATTTTCAATAATTTTGCTATGAAATACTTTCATACATACCCATGTTTTATTTGAAAGCGGTACACTTTATCGAATACAATTCCTTGTAATTAGCAGTAGCTATTTGAAAAATAATGTAATTTTCTTAAGACATTTATTTAGTAGGAAAATTACTAGAAAAGTGAGTGGGACAGTTCTACGAACAAAATGCCCGGGTAGGATAGTCAAAGCAATGGTCAATGTAGGTCTATATAGAGCTGGAATTAGGGCCTAACAGCTTTTGTAGACAATGACTTCTCTTGATGATTCCTAGAAATTTAAGGCTCGCCCACGCAAACCAACATCCTCATCGGGTAGGGAAAGACTTCCCCTATCCGATGGTTATGTTGGTCTGCGTGTACGTGTCTTGAATTCCTAGAAATCAGCGATAGAAGTCATTGTTTACAAAAGCTGTTACGCCCTAATTCCTGCTCTATCTAGATTTAATTCAATATCTCAAAATGCCGCTGAATATGAGATCGAAGTGTGCTCTGCCTCTAAACGGACGCGAAAATTTGTCAGTTGTCATTTTTTCGTCTATGGTTTTTCGTCGTGTTTTTTAGGATTTTTGGTTGAAGACGCTTGATAAGATGTATCTAGAAAGTGTGTGAGTATAAAAATTGAAGGCTATTTCCATGAGTATTTTTAACGGAATTCCGGTCGTGTGAGCTGTGATTCGGGGTTTTCGCTATTTTCGGTTCCGTCATGAGATTTCTGTTTTCTAGTGCGTGGTTCAAGAGTAAAATTTACGGGTTGCGAAGTGTAATGGTGCGTTTACCTGATGAATGTGGGCGTCTTAGCGGAATACCTGTATAATGAGAGAGAGAAGGATTTTCCATTTAATTCCACTACTTTATTTGCTTTTCCTTGACAGATACGCGTATTTCGTCTACAATGTGCTTCTTCAGTGTCTTGTACTAATACTCGACTTACTAACCTAAATGGTGCGTTTACGATTTTGGTTACCTTTGATATTTCGGAGCAGCTGAATGCTGAAGATTCGGAAACCAGCAGCAGTTCCGGTGTATTTATGTTTTCGAGCTGAAAAAGAAGCAGGCCGAAGACGGCCAGCGGTACATCTATCGCTTGAGGCGTTGCTGCTTTTCTGTTTCTGCTGCTTACAAAACGAAAACTCTGCGATTTGGAAACCATGTCATTCCATATTTTATATTAGTTTGCGAACAATTTCAATTTATATATGGGTCATTCCATCTCAAGTGACCGAGTCAGTTGCATCGACCCTCTCCGATTTGAACCAAACTTGGTGGAATGACTTATTTTAGGCCAACAATCAAAAATTCAACGACTTACCCCCCGGTTCTGGAGACTGCCCCCACTTTTTTCCGATCTTCAAGAAACACCATTTTTCTTTTGAACATAGCTCTGGACTATGCTACAGACAGGATTGGGCACTTATTTTAAAGGATTTTTAACGTAAAATTAAATGGCGTACTCAGAATTTTTATGCAGTGTTGTCAACTTGTCGATTTTTGCAATTTAAAACTTAAAATGCAAATATTTCAAAATGTCCCCACTTTTTTCTTATTTTGATAGCATTTTGGTGCTGAATTTCGGCAGACATTTTTAAATAAGAATCATCTAACCACCAAAAACAACTTTTTTTCGTTTGGGAGTTATGGATTTTTAAAGATTTAATGTTTTAAAAAAGTTCCATTACTGTACAACCCTTCAATATGAAACGTTGGACAATCCTGAAAGTTGATAGAAACGATGAAACCTGTAAGTTAGATGAGGATCTAATCCTTCTTTCATTTTATACAATCAAATGCTCAGATAATATTAAACCAGATTTGTTTCGACAGTGTTGCCAGCGTTGCAAACTTAAATTTAGATTGATAATTTTTCTTATTTTCAACACTTTATTTTTTTTTGCGTTCGGAAATGTATTCCGTATTACATGGTATTTAAGGCAGATCCATTCGTTTTGTGTTTCTTTATTTACTGATTATTGTAAATAAGCTTTCGAAATATTCAAAAACTAATTTGATTCTAAATTAAAGCAGCCGTGTTTTTATCCTACTTATTGCTATCATTTATTGAACAAATATCATCTAATACATTGAGTAGCATGAGTAATTACTTCTTCCGTTTTGCCTTAGATTTGGGTAGTGAATTTGAACGCTTTTTTGAAACAAGAACAAGAAATCGTTTTCATAAGAACAGTATCTTCGCCGGTAGGGGTGGCACAATGCATTCCGCGAATTCCAGGAATGGGTCGTGCTAGAGCGAATCGGGCTTCTAAATCCTGCTTATTCGTTTTGCATTGCTCCGATGTCACAAATTGTACATTCAAATTACAATTTGACAGTGCCCATTCGTATAACTCTTTTGGCGTTTGTATCGTTGTACCCTGTCGACTGGCTCTCGTTGGCAATCATTTCAAGGTACCTCCTAAACCGTCACTAGGGCCTTTTCCGTGTTCCGTGGCAAAGTAATGCCACTCAGCCGGAACTCCGAAGTCTTCTCGATGGTAGAGCAAGTTTTTATTTATTTATTATTATTATAGTCCATCTGACTTGATAGTCTCAATGAAACACTTAAATCTAAATGTAGTCACTCATTAAAAATTAAAAATTGGTCAACAGCAAACGATGACGAAACATCGAGGCATTGATGTCAAAGTCAAATAGGTCAGAGGCTTCGTTGAATTGATGAATCATGGCGACAAAGGAACTGTTTGCAGCATAGTTGGTTGCATGTACTACTTCATGTAGCAAGGTTCTCGGACGGAGTGTTTGGGCAGGAGCATACAGATTAATTTTGGCCAGTAACTCAGGAACATCATATTCTGCGAGTAAAACTTTAGCAACGAAGACGACCTGCGATATGTTTCGTCGCTTAGCAAGAGTATCCAAACCCAGTAAACGACAGTGGTCAGCATACGGTGGTAAATTCAGCGGGTCACTCCATGGAAGATAGCGCAGTGCGTTTCTGACGAATTTGCGTTGAACAGCTTCGAATCGTCCACTCCATACAGCTTGGTAGGGATTCCAGACTACACTCGCGAATTCCAGTAGTGAGCGTACCAATGAACAGTAAAGGGCTTTAAAACACAGAGGATCACGAAATTCCTTAGATATCTTGAACATGAATCCAAGCTGTCGATTAGCTTTGTCGATCGTGGTTGAGAAGTGGCGAGTGTATGTGAGCTTTTCATCCAACATGACACCGAGGTCTTTAACGTGATCGACACGTTGAACTGCAGTTCCAGCAACGTTATAATCAAACAAAATAGCAGTCCTAGTTCGACGGAAACTAATAACGCAGCACTTTGAGACGCACAGGACCATAAAATTACGTTCACACCAATCATTAAAGATTTTAAGAAGGTTTTGTAGTTCTAAACAGTCGGCATAGCCTCGAACGACTAGATAAATCTTCAAGTCATCGGCAAAAAACAATTTACCTCCACGTAGTAGAATAAACGTTACATCGTTCACAAATAAAGAGAAGAGCAGTGGTCCCAAAGTGCTACCCTGTGGAACTCCTGATCTGTTCGAGAAACAGTACGATGAGTAGTTTCCAATGCATACAGTAACTTCACGTTGCACGAGGTACGATCTAAGCCAGGTTCAGAAGGAAACAGAACATCCATTTTTTTCAAGCTGTGCTAGCAGAACGTCGTGCACAACTATATCAAACGCAGCTTTAAGATCAGTGTAGATGGCATCCACTTGAAGTTTCTTGCATACATTTTCCATACAGAATGACGTAAAGCTGACGAGATTCGTTTCCCCGGAGTGGCCAGGAAAGAAACCATGTTGACATGTACTTATGTAATGCTTGCAGGAAGCAAACAATCTCTCATTTATCAGCGACTCAACCACCTTAGATTTAACCCCAAGCGAGGTAATCCCACGGTAGTTTTCCACATTGCGTTTGTCTCCTTTCTTGAAAACAGGGAACATAGTAGAGCGTTTCCATAGTGCGGGAAATTTCTGTTGACGAAGTGACAGGTTGAAAAGCAAGGACAACGGAGCAGCTAAGATATCGGAGCATTTTTTTTAGGACAGCAGATGGAATAACACTCGGACCTGGTGAAAATAATGATTTGGTTTTACTCATCACAGAGAGAACCATTTGTATATCTACAGCAAAAACATCCATGTTTACGACGTCGGTTGGCACATCACGGACGGCTCGCTCAATTTCTGCTTGCGATGGGGAGTCATTCGAGAAGACGCTTAAGAAGTGCCTAGCAAATAGGCTGCATTTGTCCTCAGTTGTCAATGCTACGTCATTGCCGAGAAACATTTTTGACGGCAGTCCAGTTTCCTTCCTCTTAGTATTCACAAACGACCAGAATCCCTTGGGGTGGCATTGCAGATTATGTTGAGTACGAATTACATACCTCTTGTAAAGAAGCTTGTTGTAGTGGCGATAATCATTGCTGGCAATTGAAAAATTTCGCTTGGTAAGGGTACATCGTCGATGAGTGAGAGCACGGAGAGCTCTAGATCGCACTCGTTTCAGGTTGCGGAGAGTAGCGTTAGACCAAGGCGGTTTTCTTGGAGGTTGGCACTTCGGTACTGAAGCACAAACACAGTCGCGCAAAAGGCTATTATATCGAGCGGCTGCTGTATCGATATCAAGGTC